TCGACGGGGGCTATCTCCCCTGGACTAGCCCAGGGAGGGAGAGGCGGAGGAGGGTAGTAGTCTCAGGAGGCTGTTTGGCGTCTTGTGGTGTGAGCTCTTTGCGCTCTTTTTTGCGTGAGGATTTTTGAGCTTGGTGACCTCCCCAGCCCGGGAAGACTCGTCGGGCTCCCGGTCGCCCAAGTCCTGGTAGCGAGCTCTCTGAGATGCTCGGTTCGTTCGGTCGGCAGGAAGAGCCCCCCAGTTGCGACTTCGTTTATGTTAGGAGACCAACGGGCATAGATCCCGTCTAGTTGGAGCGCCAAACAAGCGCTGTTGCGTGCCGGCCGTCGTTTCCCGTGCGGCCTGACCCGGGGGCGGAGTGCATGAGACTAACCAGCCGTATGCACCCGCCCCCCGCGCTGTGCTTCGGCCCTGGGCCCCCGGCTTTTCAGCCCACAGTGTAATCAACGTCATACATACATACATACATACATACATACATACATACATACATACATACATACATACATACATACATACATACATACATACATACATACATACATACATACATACATACATACATACATACATACATACATACATACATACATACATACATACATACATACATACATACATACATACATACATACATACATACATACATACATACATACATACATACATACATACATACATACATACATACATACATACATGCATACATACATACATACATACATACATACGCACACGTATACCTGTGGTTCCGTTCAGATAACCGCCAATGAGGTAGAGCTTGTTGCCGTACGTCGCTGCCGCCATGTGGTGTCCCACGAACGGACGCTGGGCCTTACTGTCGTACATCAGGAGTCGCAACGGGCGGCGGGGGAGATGAATACATAGAGAGGGGCATCCATCTCAATCATTAGTCGACCGAAGGTTGACCATAAGTAACCGGCAAAGGCAGCTAGCTACACATCTATCTACCATTACACTATGCTCTGCAAGTCTAGTTGAGGTTCCGGGTTCAAGTCCACCTGCCGACCCTTCGGTATGTGAGGGGTGTTAAATTGGGAGGTGGCCCCCCATCTTGTGGACGGTATAGGACGTGATTATAGCAATTTGCAAGCTGACCAGGAACTAAGTTGTGGCGCCGTTGATCCGCTAGATTTGGTTGGATGCTGGTGGTGAGTTGCTGAACCCAACGTATATATTACATTCTGAAGTCGGAGGGGGCGAATGGATTAGGGTGCCCCTCTCGCAGGGGAGAGCAGGGAACTGCCTCGGTAAAGGGGGCAGCTGGTGAAGCTATACCACCCTGTAACAATATCATATAACGAACCCCCCGACTCCTCTATCTATCGATCCAGAGATAAGCCCTATCTGCTGTGCATGTGCATGCACTCACATGGACCACACGTTGGCATTGATATCCAGCACCATGGTGGCCTGGGACGCTCTTCCGTCATTAATATTGAATCCCATCACTAGCAGCAGAGGCTCGCCCTTGGCGCCCTGCAAGCACGAAGACATGCATGTGTTAGCATACAAAGAACTAGTCCGCCGCCATTCGCTGATGATGATCTGCGCTCCTGGATGGCGCTTCACGCTTCCTTAGTTTTGCAAGCAGGCATATGTATGTATGTATGTATGCTAGGCAGCCGGCGACCCTGCCTGTCGTACGCGGCCCAGCCATATAGCCGCGCGCGTCCGAAAGCTGTAGATGGTATCGGCGAAGTATAGGCAGAAGTCCGAGAATCACGCTCGCTCGAGCCCAGGCGCGCTTTACTTCCTTTCCATCAGTCCGTTACTAGCGCCTCCTTCGGTTCGTTTCCTTTAAACGCACGCACCTTGAGAATGCCAGCGGACGTCTCCCCGACGGCGTACGGCATCCTGGACACATCCGTCCAGCTAACGCTCACATCTGCGGCAGCGAGGAGGGGACCCTGGCCCCAAGCTGACATAAGAGCCAGCAAACCCGGCAGTAGCAGCAGCAAGGTGTTGATGCTGGGTCTGCCGGTGCTCAAGTTTAGTCGGTGATAACGATGAGCAGTAGTTGTTAACGTCATTGCTTCTACGGATTGATAACTTATGTAGTATCACGGGCGAGATTGATTGGCGCCTGTTTGTAGGCTAGCGCTTAATTGCTGAAAATTAGATTTGGGTTACCTTTTTATACGTCTTACTTGGATTACTTGAAAAAACACGACATCATGTGCTTTGCTCGTATGCCTCGTGCTCGCGCTGCCTCGTATGACTGTGCTAGTAGCTAGGTGGCAGCTGCCTGTGCTGTTTGCGGAACAGTCCCAGATCAAGTTTTACAGGCAGCAGTTGGTGCTGTCTTGGATGAGTCATACAGTAGCACACACAGGCAGGCGTACTGAAAGGAAGTTCCTAAGTGCATACAGACCATGCCTGAGATGGAATATGTGTGCGGCAGTGCATTCATAACTGCTGGTAAGATCATACAAATAATAGTATAATATGTCGCATCTTGCAGCTATCTTGCTTATTACTTAACATAACCGTGACAGGTGATAGTCAGCCAGCTTAGCTTCATCATCAGCTTTACATACGCATGTACAGAAGCCATATATTCCTATGGAACACGGCAGCAGGTGCGCGTGATTTTGCGCCTGACTCTTAATTTTGACGCTTGACTCAAAATACAAGGTGCAAGCAATAACACGTTTTTCGCATGTGCGAGATAGGAGGGGTGTGCCAGGTAAGGGCCAGGGCTTCGTGGGTGTGATGCTCTCCCCCGCTCCCCTTCCTTGCCAAGACACGCGTGTGCCTGTAACACCAGGCAAAGAGTACTCAGGGAGATGCCAAGGGAGCTGAACGCTTCTTACAGGGTCTCACAGACCTCCGATAGAAAGCCAACCACAGCTAGGTAGGGGGCCCTCGGCCATAGTAGTCACACGTCCCACCCCCTCGGAAGCCAAGTTCCCTCTCGTACTGCTTACTAAGCAGTAGCCCGTGAGCCTCCGCAGGCTGGGCATTCACAAAAGACATGCAGCTCATCCACAACCGCTCCGCAGTCTAATGATCATTTGATCCTGGATGGGATCCTTAAAGGTAGGCCTCGGGTGTATCCCCTAGGATTTTTAATGTTTTTCCTTCTTACACTTTATTATCGAAGATAGTTTACACAGATAAAAGAATGATCCCAGCTGCAGCCATGCAGTAGTTACAAATTGTTGTATCACGTCTTATCGCAGGAAAAGAACCGATCGGCGGATGTCAATCCCGTGATACCCAGGATACTACACAAATGTAAGATAGGGCAGCAGTAGTTGGACGCGCAGTTTACGGCAGCCAGAAGGGCCGACAGTAAAGTTATGCAGACCCTTGATGAGTACGGTCGTGCTCAAACGCAGGTCACGATGAGCTGCTGCGTTTGAGTAGCCGCCACATGATCAACAGGGTGGCGGGATCACGATACAGCCAGGCGTCAGAACCGCGCATAGGTCCGCCCAATTGCAAGCGTCAACTTGACACGTCATTGAATGTGCGTCGACAACTGCATGTATGTATGTATGTATGTATGTATGTGGGTCATGCACATCGAGAGCGTCTCGCGCCTCGCTGAGCGAGATGATTGCGCAACGTCCGATGAAGTGCTTGCGACTGGCAGTGGCCAAGAAGATTTCTTAGCAAGGCCGATCAAGACGCCATCAGCAGGGATGGTTTGTGCGCGGCCGTTTGGCCTACCTGTCGCGATTTACAGCAGGCCTAGGCCTAGGCCTGGATGACGCCGATAGATTAGATCCCTATCTCTCATTAAGCGACTACGCCCGTTATTGGATCTCCCTGATGAACAACACATTCGCCATATCCCTCATAAACACAAGTAAACTGATTGATTTGATTACGTCGCCATAATGCTTCCATTAACGGATGCTAGCATGCCAGCCGGGCCCCACCCGCATGCCTAATTCATACACAGAATATCATCACACCATTCTCATTAATCAGGACATATTTGCACATATAATACCTCCGTCAATCGAAAGCATATTATTAAAGCATATGAACCGTACCTCCCTATCGACCTATCACGGTGGAAACCATTAGCTAGCAGACGGACATGCATCATGCACGTACAAAACTAATTATCATCATTCATGCACATGTGTACACGGTTTGGGATCCGAGCGACTTGCTTGTTTGTGACCCAAAGCATCTGGGAATGCTTTTTGCGTGGCTGTGCTAGCAGGGGAGTTTCACTCTCAAAAAAACTACATCCGCGTGTGCGTAAAGCATGGACGTATGCCCTTCATTTTCGGCCTTCACCCCAGCTATCTAGCTCGCTTCCCGTCAGCCATACATCGTCACACAACTTCCATGTATGTGCATAGATGTTCCTCGCTATAATTCTGCTTGATACCCCCACCGCACACGAACACCACGTCGCCTGTGCCGCCGGGGTTTCCGCCCTTGGGTCTTGGACCTACCACCGGGAAGGCGCCATGACGTCCAACAGACATACCCGGCAGACCCCTGTCCCACGTGTTGGTGCGGGGGTTGTACCTGAAACGGAACGCAGGTGCAACGGCGTGCGTGCGGTACAGAGTCTTAGGCCATTTGCCGCGGTGAACCTGACTTACTATCATTACCGAGCACAAGCTTGTGGTCGATAATGATGGAACCGTTAGAATATAAGCCTTCCGTTTAGCAATAGTACGAGACAGCAGTGCATTACGGAAGTACGAGGTATGGTGATGCGTTATTTATATTAAGTATTAATTAGCCCTTCGGCTAATATGCGTGTCTGTGTTGCATGGTCGTGTGTTACATGGTCGTGGGGTGCGTTCCCTGTACCTGCAAACCGCCCATGTGGGCGACAGGGTGTGAGCAGCAATCATGGCAGGTACGCGGCTGCTGTATAAACCCGTAGCACTGTAGACATGGACACAGCAGAGTATGGGCGCAGTACGTAGTTACTTGACGAGCTCAGTTCACTAGTTCACAGACCTGTCAATGCGATAGAAGACGCCCAGCGAAGTAAGAGTGAGCTTGTTGTTTGGACATCTGCCCATCCACGTCCGGCTACACCTTCATTTGCGCAGCAGCAGGCAGCAGCAGCAATCAAGGCATATGTTAGTGTTTAAAAGTGATCCACACTAATCACCCTATGTAGGTATCTGGACGGACTGCGAGCGAGGTGGCACAGTGTGTACTAACTAGTATGTATGGCCCGAGGGGGCAGGCAGGCGGCAGGTGTGTGTCCGCAGCAGCAGTCGGCGGCCACACACATGCATGCACGATTGATGTATGAGACTGATCACTCCTAGCTAGATGAACATCACTGCTGAAAATGAAAACGACCGTTACACTTACTTGACCTCACCACCCATGACGTAGAAGTATCCCTCGTAATAAGCGGCGCCACCCATGCCGCCACGGCCAGCTGGTGTAGCGGCAGGACCATCAGCATCCGTGTTGGATTTCCAGGTCTGCAACGGGCACCAATAATCAAGCAACCTAGTATTATACAATAGGTACGACAGACGTACAAATAATGAAAGGACGGTCGAATTTATACCATGTATGACTCGTCATGCTATACAGCACGACCGTCTGTGAAACATTTTATCGTCTGTAGACGTGGTCAACGTATAATAGCTAGAACCGACATAGAAATACATCCCGCATAGGTTCAACGTTTAGAATGTTCTATACATCGTGCAAATGGTAAATATATAAATAGGCCCGATATTAGATGGGCAATGGGCAATGCTCTCCAATCTACAGCAGACGGGTCCCATACCGCTGCATGCATGGTACTCACGTCGCTTTCGGGGTCGTAGATTTGCGTGTAGTTCACGGGATTAGTAGACGTGCCCGCTATGCTGTCGCGCCCGGCAAACACGTAAAACAGCTTGCCGTCCGTGGCAGCGGAGGCGTGGTGTACGGCGTAAGGCATGTAGGCCATGGGCAACCACGTGTTGGACGGCACGTGGAATTTCCTGTATTCAGTGTGCAGGCACATGCATCATACATACATACTTGCTTATCGTGGTCATACGTATACGTACGGCACAGACTGTTAACATGAGTGAGGGTATGCTCGTTCTTATGATTAAATTTATTGCAAAAGACCCACAACGGACTTGCATTATTGGCATACTGTTGCGCGCGTCCTGTATGTATAGAAAGAAGTACAGAGCGCATCATCACGCTTGGTGATGATCAGCTTACTAGTACTAGTACTATTAGTACTATTAGTACTATTAGTACTATTAGTACTATTAGTACTATTAGTACTATTAGTACTATTAGTACTATTAGTACTATTAGTACTATTAGTACTATTAGTACTATTAGTTCGTCAGCAACCAAAAGGTCACGCATGCATGCGGTCTTCGTTCCTGCCTTCGCATTCATGATCCGGGATGAGTGATGAGGCCTGCCGGCTCTCTTTATATTAGATCCGATATAAAATAAACCCACGCAAGCAGGAGGCTCTGAAAGTGGGAAGCAGGATGCTGGGGACGCTCGAAGTAGTGCCATCATTCAAAACTTATCAAGCAAGCTGTTCTCTCACTCCACATACACTTACGCGCACTTATCAATCGGTTTGCCGGATCGTTCATTGCCCTCATCGAGGCCTCCGCAGTAGTAGATGGTGTCCCCAATGGCCTCGGCAACGGCAGCGCCAGTCTTGAATGGCGGTTTCGGCCCGACGGCCCATTTGTCTTCTACGGGATCGTAGATTTGCATATTCTCTACAGGGCGGGGCAGAAATAGGATGCGATCAGACGTGCTCAGCGGATACATAGCTAGATACGTTCTATCCGCCCCTCGGAATGCGCTGACGACAAAGCCGGTCACAAAACCACATGCGTGCAGTGGCGGCTAATTAGACGCACATTCCACACAAACATACATACATACATACGCACACGTATACCTGTGGTTCCGTTCAGATAACCGCCAATGAGGTAGAGCTTGTTGCCGTACGTCGCTGCCGCCATGTGGTGTCCCACGAACGGACGCTGGGCCTTACTGCAGCTCAGGAGTCGCAACGGGCGGCGGGGGAGATGAATACATAGAGAGGGTCAATCGTTAGTCGACCGAAAGTCGACCATAAGTAACCGGCAAAGGCAACTAACTATGAATCTACCTAGCTATTATAGACACTATGCTCTGCAGATCCTTCTAGACGACACTCCCATGGTGATTACTTTTCACACAGGGCTGTAAATGCACGGCTGTACACACATGCATACACATAACAATAACACACACATACTTGCGAGCTGACCAGGAACTAAGTTGAGGCGCCGTTGATCCGCTAGATTTGGTTGGATGCTGGTGGTGAATTGCTGAACCCAACGAATACATTCTGAAGTCGGATGGGGTGAACGGATTAGGGTGCCCCTCTCGCAGGGGAGAGCAGGGAACTGCCTCGGGAAAGGGGGCCGCTGGTGAAGCTTAACCACCCTGTAACGACATACATAACAATGCCCCCGGACGTTCCGAGATCGAGACCCGTCAGGCTCGGAAAAGTCCTGATGGTGGATCCTAATCCCTGGATGATGGTGACCTGGGATATAGTTGTCTCACGATCTGACAAAGCATGAAGTTGGGCCGCTGTCGACCCGGCAGATTCCGTTGGTGGCCGGTGGTGGGTTCGGCCGAACCGGTGAACCGCGGAACCTTAGTGACCCACTGAGAATTGGCTAGGGTGACTGGATGAGGGTGCCCCGAAGTACCGGGGACGGCAGAGTCTGCCGGGTAGCGGCCGCAGGGTGAAGATATGAGCCCCTTGTCCCACACATCATATAACGAACCGCCCGACTCCTCTATCTATCGATCCACGGATAAGCCCTATCTGCTGTGCATGTGCATTCACTCACACGGACCACACGTTGGCATCGATATCCAGCACCATGGTGGCCTTCGTCGCGTTTTTCTCGATATGATGGAAACCCATCACTAGCAGCAGAGGCTCGCCCTTGGCGCCCTGCAAGCACGAAGACATGCATGTGGTTAGCATAGTCCGTCGCCATTCGCTGATGATGATCTGCGCTCCTGGATGGCGCTTCACGCTTCCTTAGTTTTGCAAGCAGGCATATGTATGTATGTATGTATGCTAGGCAGCCGGCGACCCTGCCTGTCGTACGCGGCCCAGCCATATAGCGACGGATTAAGTAGCCATAGGCAGAAGTCCTAGGATTGCGGTCGCTCGAGCCCAAGCGCGCTTTGATTCCTTTTCTGAGTTCATTCGCGCTGTGTTCGTTTTACTAAAACGCACGCACCTTGAGAATGGCAGCGGACGACTCCCCGATGGCATACGGCATGCTTGCCACATCCGTCCAGCTTACATTCACATCTGCGGCAGCGAGGAGGGGACCCTGGCCGCAAGCTGACATAAGAGCCAGCACACCCGACAGCAGCAGTAGCAGCAGGGGGCTGCTGCCGGGTCTGCAGGTGCTCAAGGTCAGCAGTCCGCGACAACGATGAGCGGCAGCTGTAAGCGCCATTGCTTCACCGGGGTGATGACTTAAAAAGATCTCGGGCGAGCTTGATTGGGGCCCTGATCTGGTGGGCTAGCGCTCGCCTAGCGGTGCACGCAGAGAACCTAGAGCACGCCCTAGGCTTGATGGCGGTGTAAGTGTGGCAAGAACGCGGAGTCCGTCTATTCGGGACACTGTAGTTACAAATATCCACTGTTTATACTTCACAGCTTTTTATTACCCTTTTATATGCATGTCTTAATAGTTAACGTTGGATTTGTAGACAGGACATGCCTTGGGCGTTGCCTCTGATTGTAGACACGACATGCCTTGGGCGTTGCCTCCTGTGGCATTGTCCGAAATCGAGGCAAGCTGCACAGGCAAGCAGCTGCTGGTACTTTCTGTTATATCACGATCTTTTCAGGAAAGAACCAATCGGTGGATGCAGATCCCGTGATATATAATACCCAGGATATTACACTTCCTTGGAGGAGGAGGAGGAGTCACACAATCGGCCCACCTACCGTGCATGATACAAGGAGGCGTATTGAAATAAAGGTCTTCGGTACTGAACAGCAAGGAAGGTCTCCCCACGCTGATGCTGGCTAATGCATACAGACCTTGCCTTAGCCTATAGATGGAGCGTGCGTGCGCCGCGTGCGGCAGTGCGTTCTTACTTCTGGTAGGTGCAGAAAAGTAATAAGCAGTTGTATATCGTATCTTACAGCATCCATCTTCTCACATATCACAAACGTGACAGCGGGTCAAGCCAGTACAATTACTGAAACCGCCGCTGCACCAAAACGTTTGCTGCGGGTCATACAGCGGCGGTCACGACTTTACAACGGCCGTACCATGAATTACATTGTAAGACCAGAGACATACCTCCATGTCATAACGCTTCATCTTAGCCTAGCTATTAAAAATGCGCTATTGCAACATGCCGGAATTATTAACCCGCCAGTAGGGGGCCCAGTAGCTAGGGGTTCCAGTAGGGGCCTCACTTAGGGGATGTCGACCCCCACGCACGCCCACGACGACAACAATATCTCTCGTAATTCACCAACCACACGTCCAGCCTCACCGTTCCCGCCTGTAGCAAGCTGTTTCAAGCTTGTACGGGGCCAAGCAAGCTGGTAGCTTAGCTCTTTTGCACACCAGTAAGTGGCATTATTATCTCCGCGCACACTCTGCTGGCCGCATGAACATTTTTGGCTTAAAATTTAGTTGACATGTGCTCAAACGTAATGCATCACACCGACACGCGCCGATATAAACACAAGCAAGAGCTGTGAACGCAGCACCCAATAAACACCAGCTGGTGATAGCTATTAGTTCAAGGTGTGCCAATAAAGCACCGGACATATCTGCGCCCTTTCGGCCCTCATGCACAACGGGGGAGACCTGTACACCTACCTGACGAGGTTCGTTTATTACATGCTTCCAAGCATCATTACGTGCACAGTCCACCATCTCCACTAATTGTCGTCCTGTAGCAGCCGGTACACAGTACGGCGCTATAAATTCGCGCGTAGCGCGACCACCAGCATCTCGAGGGGCCTTTTCAGCGGCCAGCTGCTACACGTCCTAATTTGGCTTAGCCACAGATTCTGCTGCTTGGGAGAAGACGTGTTGGCATGTGCATGGCTGGTTGGAAACCAAGCACACATGCAGTTATTACGTAGTAATACTGGAGCGCCCCATACTGTTGTAGAATATAATAAGCATCAGTTACTCACGCGAACCCCTGTCGGCACGTAACCCAGTTAACAGTCATACCAGCTGCTGCAGGGAGGGAATCTGCGTGGTAGAAGGCAAATATAGAAGGCTACACTGTCCATGTGGCTGGTGCAATTGGTCTTGGTGTAGCAGCGGTTGTACATACATGGTACAGCACACGTACATACATATTGTCTGGAAGTATGCGCTGAGGTGCTCCGCCAGCATCTTGAGAGGCATTTTAATTCAGTACTCAGATATCCTTATTCGCATTGAAGCATCAGCACAAAAGATGCGTGAACGGCACAGGTCGATGCATTGCGATTCTCCCATAGGGCCGTACGAATGAAGTGACACTGCTGCGCGGATGTCTGGAGAAGCTGTGCAATTCCGATTCTCCGTCATCGCAAGCTTCAACCAGTCGCTCAGCGTCCACGATGCTTCAAGTAGGCTTTCCGTCGCCACACATGCAGCTGGGTCGTACACCACTGCACCGGTCATACGGAAAGTGGTGTCATTGCAAGCGGTGACCTGAAGGGGTGACGAAAAGATGAGCTGGGCTTGCGCCGCCACCTTCATTAGGTTAGCAGAAATGATGTCCGCAAGATTGCTGCAGTTGATATCACGGCCAAACTGACGGTCAGGTTTTGGGATTTCGGGTGCGGCTGGCTTCAATCTCATGAACACGTAAATGTTGGTAACAGGAGGTGGTGAGGAAGGTAACGAAGGCGGGGGTTGCTGTTGGGGCAGAGGAGGCTTTGGGATCAGCGGCCTGCTGGGCGACTGGACGGGTGGTGGGGAAGGGAGTGGCTGGCGAGGTGAGGGGGATGGGCGAGGTGAGGGGGGTGGGCGAGGTGAGGGGGGTGGACGGGGAGGCGATGGAGAGCGTGTAGGCGGTGGCGATTTGCGCGGTGGAGAGATGTCAGGGATGACTCCCTGGAGTCCCCGGCGGTTGGCGAGGTTGGCGGTTGCTGCTGCGTGGGATGCTACAGATGCACCATGGGTACTGCGCATGCGGCTCTCCAGTGTCTCCGCCGACATAGCAGACTCTGCAGGCGCATTATTTGCAAAACTGGTTAACATGGAATTGACCCATGTATGCCGGACTAGAGCCATGAAAGACGGAATGCTCATGTGTGTCAGTAGCTGCTGGCCTCATTAAAAATAAAGTTTTTCGATGGTCTATATATCGCACCCTGGTATACTAGTTTGGTACGGTCCCGATCTAATTATGTACCAGCCCACGATCTATAGAAGATAAGAAGTTCTACAGATAGACGTGCACGCCAGCAGTTTGTGACCCGCTGATCACCCTTGTCAGAGCGCACGGCAGCCGCGTATAGCTCTGAAACGTAAATTAATGAGGTATTGGTAAAATTGGTAAAATAAATATGAGCTCACGCTGCGGCGGAGCATTGCGCAACCTTGCTTTGGCAATAAAGTTTTTTTCTCCAAGTTTTCCCTACAGATAACAGCCGTTCTGTCCGCTCCAGATAACAGCTCACCTGAATATAGGAGACAGAGAAGTAACAAGAACGTGGCCATAATCCGACAAGCGCCGTGAGAAGATATGCCGACTTCGCCGCCGCTCCGCATTTTTACTGCAATAGAAAGCAGGTATGCCTACGAATGCAGCTTGGTAAATGGAGCTTTAGATGCTCGTGCCAATAAATGCTCGCCCACAGATACGGTGGGCGCCTACCTATGCAAGGAGCGAGGAGACAGCAAGGTACGGCAGCCATGTTCACCTTGTAGTACAGATACCTAATAATTCACTATTTTTTAAACAATTTAATCAAATTGATGGGATCGCATTTGCCGGGAACCTCAAAGGATGTACGTCCTCTGTTCCACTCAATTTCTATTCATGCGTACAGAATTCGCCGCTGCAGGGCCGCCGTCGCGGCACCGAGCGAGCATGTTCGTCAGTAAAAATTTCAACCACCTATGGGGGGTTTTCCACTTGGATAAAAAGTCACGGATTAAGGCTTAATCCGTCGCATATGGAAACATCGCACGGATTAGGACGGATTTGGCGGATTAAGATTGGCGGGATTAGGTACCTACGCCCGTATCTGCGCGCTTCGCGGATTAAATTTAGATTAACATGTTGTAAAATGCCCACATTCTTCATATACTAAAAGCTCAAACTCGGTGGAAAACATTTGCTACTTGGTGGGCATTAAGTATCAAATTGACAATCTCGGATTGACACGTTTTACAACGCCTCATAAAAAAAACTGCATTATAGGTTGGAAGGTTATCCCTTGTAAGGGCTGTCGGTGTTTCTAGTTTTGTGGAAGTTTTGCGCTTCTCGTTCGGCATTATGCACCACACCGTGGGTGTCGTTCAGTGCTGCAAGGCCTTCATTTTGATACTGGATAGTCTTTTAAATGTTCAACAACGCTCGTTTTTGTATTGTATGCACGGAATGGCAAATGTTGTACTTCAATTCGTTCCTTAACCCGGCGTATGAAACATTCCTTCGTGGATTACCGGCGGATTGGCGTGGATTAATTATAAACATACCTTAATCGGTGACTTTTAATCCAAGTGGAAACACCCCCATAATAACTTCCAACTTGAAACTTATCCGGGCTGCCGGAGATATTATTCGTAACACGTCTGGATATTAAAAAACTTAATCATGACGAAAACGGCGTGGAGTTGCTGCTCATATGTGCGTGTCCGCCGCCATTTTTGAAAGTCGGTACAGCTTTACCCTTGGACAACTGCAGTCTCTGAGTATCCTCCTAGGAAAATCACATAATATGACTTCAAATAAACAGTTCCTGATGACTGCGCTGACGCTGGTCTCGCCGCTACATTTGTCATGACAATTGGGCGAGCCAGACCGGCGGCGAGGGTGGCATTTCGATCGTCAGCTCTAGCCATTCTCGGATCTCCGACCCCTCTATATCTTGTAAATACTGCACAAATGAAATGAAATAATACAAAAAAACCGATTTGACCCATCAGTTTAAATTTAATCATACTTATTATCTGCTCATCGCAATTACGCTTGGCGCGGTTCACTGCGAGTGATGGGCGGGCGCATGACGCAGTGTTTTTTGAAAATTTTCACCGAAGGGTAATTTTTTAGTGACCAAGTGGTTACTGTGGGGGTTTTCCTAGGTAACCACCTTACGAAAGATTTTCCCCATCGAGCATGCTGAACAGGAGCTCCCTAGAACCATGCATTCAAAGATCCGACTTCACTTGAAGAAATTTTTATGAACAAGCCGTCTGAGCAAGCTTTCTCAACTTTGACTCTATGTACGGCGACCCGTTCCCGAGCCGAGCTCAGTGAAGCATCACTGCTCCCACCCAAGCGTCAAAAACGTTTTTCAGTTGTGGGTGTGTATGGTTGTTACAGTGGGCTCCAGACTCACGAAGAGTAGAGCCATTGGGCCAGCTGGCCGTGCACTGCACTAGAGACTAATATACAAATTAGACAATCACCCAGATGATACAACTAACAGGCAATTAGACAGTCAAACCGCCGTAAGAGGGTGCCAGTGGATACGGACATCCCCATGCCGCCGAGCGACTCTTGGACGGTGATGATAGACCCTGCCAGTTTTAGTGACCTGAAAGACAACTAGGAGAAGAGTTGCCTGACACCGCCGTTAATCCGGCAGATTCCGCTAAATGCCGGCAGTGGGTGCTGATTCCGCTAAAGTAACTGCTGACTTCACAGCATGAAGGTGCCCCTGAAACATCGGGGAAGCTTGGTACCTAGGGATTGCCAGGTTAATGGCCGCGGGCGAAGCAATACACCCCTTCTTCACGAAATCATAAATAGCTGCACTTTGCTATTTAAATAGATTGTTGGAACGGGCACCTACTTGAGTATGTGGTGGACCAGCATCACTAGGGCGACTAGGCCGGCAAAGTCAGAGGGCGTAATGTTACCAGCTGCAGGGCGACCGACATCGTCCCCTCAACAACCTAGGATTGCTAGCTAGTTAGCATTATTATAATAAGCAAGCAAGCGACACATGCAGTTTTTGGGCGGGAACGAATGCTGGAGCTGCATGCGACGACAGCATGCATTAGTTTATCCGGAACATTATCACGTTTGTGCGTTGTTACACCTTGTAATATTACGTTATAAGACTTTATAACGTAACGAGTAATTAATTACTCCATCTGTCTCGAAAGATGTGACACCGCGACACATTACGTACGAGTCGGGCGGGGCCCCAAGGACCAGTTGAAGAAAGATAGATAACATATACTAACACGAAGAATAATATATCATTTCGCGTAACACACAGAAAACTATCAACTACCCAGGCTGCTGGTATACCAGTAGTCTGGGTCGTCTGCGTACATGTGCCGTACATGTGCCGTACGTATGGCGCAGCAGCGTGCCTGCTGCTTGAGAACCTCGTTCACCAGATAAACACTGTGAATCGATAAGGTTCGCCAACTTCAGCTGCTGGTCAATACATTGTTACGTGTATATATCACCAGCCAGTATTATATCCAGCATGGTAAATAATTTAGAGGAACTCGAACCATTACCATCTACATCATTTGCCGCCGAACAACTTCATCACGCGTGGTGAACGCGTGGAAAGAGCAAAACACATGCTGCTAGGCTAGGAGGCTAACCTAGCTACCCATGCAAACAAACAACTCGACACTCCGCCACCCAAGAACCGCCGCATTCATATAAAACGGATGTTCGGGTGACTGGATGAGGAGGGATCCTAGAAGGCAGGACCAACCGCCTTGGACTTGCAGTTCCTATGGCGTAGTACAGTGTGGTAATGGTGGATGGTGCTGTATGGTGATGATTCGTAGAAATGACGATGTGTTCAAGTGGCCCAGATCTAGAAGCCTCCCACTCCGTTAAAAGGCTATTAGGCTATATATTAAGCCGAACTAATTTCGTACATCAATCATCCACTCATATTAACGTACGGCAGCGGATCCGTGCATGAACTAATAACGAAATAGTTTAGCGGCCCCACGCCGCACCAAGTACATGGGTCAAAGCGAGCCCAACAAACAGCATCGAATCGACCAGAGACATACCCGGCTGGACTCTGCTGCAAAAGAACGACTTAAGGAATCATAAATGATAGAAGCCGTTTGCACGAGGTGCAGTAGGCAGGCACGCATGGCAGCAGCAGCAGCAGCAGCAGCTAGATATCCGTCTAGTCAGGAGTTTCTGCTGCGTCACGAAGTTGATGATGGACTGCTGGAGGGGTTAATTTATAATAGCATATGAGCAAATGTTGGAGTCACCGTATCCAGCTTGGAGCCCACCGCCGCATACATACACCGCGGGGCCGCCCCCCGCGCTCCTTGGCGCTGTCCCCAGAACGGGGTAGAAGCCATGGCGGGGCACATTCATCGGGAAAACTCGATCCCATGTATCTGTAGCTGGGGTATACCTGCACGTGATGACCCACAGACCGGAAGAGATCAAGGAAAGCGAAAGTTGGGAGCTATGGGAGATACATGGGAGCTACACATCATGCAGACACGGTGTAAGGTATGGCGGGACCGTGTAACATGGCAGACACATACACACACAGCCCGCCGTGAAGGCACGATGTCTCTCCGAGGACTTTCCCTTCATTCGTTGTTAAAACTTTCATCTTGATTTTTTGATTTCTGCACGCGCGGGGCGAACCTACCTGTCAACTCGGTTAAAAACGCCGGTAGACGTGAGCCCGATGGTCGAATTGGGACATCTGCCAAGTACAGTCCCTCTGCAGCTGTACGCACACGTAATAAAACGAAACGGTGACGAGGTCAGAAATACGCAACATCAACTTCGAGATGCATTTAGCATCGCAATTATAGTTTTTGATAATAATTGCGAGTGATTCTCGATGCATGGGATCCCGAAAGAGCGGTTGTACGTTTTGTCAAATAAAACAAATATAATAATAATAATAATAATAATAATAATAATAATAAGAATAAGAATAAGAATAAGAATAAGAATAAGAATAAGAATAAGAATAAGAATAAGAATAAGAATAAGAATAAGAATAAGAATAAGAATAAGAATAAGAATAAGAATAAGAATAAGAATAAGAATAAGAATAAGAATAAGAATAAGAATAAGAATAAGAATAAGAATAAGAATAAGAATAAGAATAAGAATAAGAATAAGAGTAAGAATAAGAATAAGAATAAGAATAAGAATAAGAATGATATATATATTATAATATATATAATATAATAATAATTTAACAAAAATAAAAATTGTAATAGTAGTAATAGTGATAGCAATAGTAATAACAGTAATACTAATACTAATAACAGTAATTATAGCAATATTAATAATAGTGGTAACAACAATAGCAACTATAAAAAATAATGATAACAATAAGCCCCCGTTAGCACTTTGGCATGTTTAATATGAGCCTTTTGAAGCCAAACGAGAAAAAGATGGGCGGCGGAGTGTTAACCGAATGGTTGTACTTCTATCGTCTAATGCTGCTGAGATGCTGCATGATTTTCATCTCACATACATTTATATAACGCATTGCACGATGGCAACCTGTTTTACATACATACATACATACATACATACATGCAAATCATCAGCCTATTTATAAGCGCTACGATAAAAGTTTGGCAACCTTATTACTAAGCTCGCCCGCACGTAGACAGCAAGTAATGGTGCGCACAAGGGATGATGTGTCACGCATATTTGATATTTAATAATGTGACCCGCCGTAGTGGTCACTAATAATAACTCAGTGGGGCCCCTGGGGGATCGATCCCGCAACTAGTGATTGGGACATGAACGTACGTACCTGACTTCACCACCGAAAAAGTAAAGGCTGCCGTACATAGAGATGCCAGGACCCATTCCACCGCGCCCGTACGGCATCGCCTTGGGCCCTCCGGTTAGCTGCTGGCCGCTGGAACGCCACGTCTGCATGCATGCGAGTAAAGATAGCAGCCACATGATAATTGAACAGATACACAACGCACATATACACCTTTGATCGTAAGGTGGATATTGGTTTGGTGACCTCGTCCCTACTACCACTGCTACGTAAATGTCTTATCATTTCGTTGCTTTGGTTCGTTGGGCTCGCGCAGAACCTAACTCATTATGTGTAGGTCTGCGCCTGTTTCACTATAATAATAATTAGTTGACAAAGGTGAACATAGCCGGCCAGCAGGCAGTAATGGACATGCAGACATCAAGAACGAACCTTTCAATCTATCTATCCTAATATACGGCGGGCGGCTGGCAGAGATTAAGGTCTGACTTCTGCTCCCGGAGTGTCCGGGTTCAAATTCGCCTGCCGACCTCTCGGGTGTGTGAGAGGTGTCGAAATGGGAGGTGGCCCCCCATCTAATGGACGGTGTAGGACGTGATAATATCAACTTGCGAGCTGACCAGGAACTAAGTTGAGGCGCCGTTGATCCGCTAGATTTGGTTGGATGCTGGTGGTAAGTTGCTGAACCCAACGAATACATTCTGAAGTCGGATGGGGTGAACGGATTAGGGTGCCCCTCTCGCAGGGGAGAGCAGGGAACTGCCTCGGGAAAGGGGGCCGCTGGTGAAGCTATACCACCCTGTAACAGCATACATACGTATAGATCCCAGCTGCTGCTGCGGAAGTTTCCAGACACGCCCTCCACGTCTTACGTTGCCCATCATTCATTTTCCTATATATTTATTACTCACGCACCTACATATGCGCGACACTATTGAACTATTTACAGTGTGATGCTAAAAATCTTATTTTGTTATTTCCAGATGAAACACAGCCCACCGCGCGTACCTTAGTTTCGGGATTGTAAATCTGCGTGAAGGCAACCGGAGAATCAACGCTGTTCTTGCTGACGTTACGGCCACCGACAACGTAGACAAAGTTGCCGTCGGTGACCATAGACGCGTGGTGTACGGCATACGGCATGGGTGGGATGCTCGACCAGGTTCCCATAGGAATGTTGAACACCCTAGATGGTACGATGGGCGAGCAGTACAAGCAAGCCGACGGATGTCGTTTTATTGTTAGGAAACGCGCTGGTAAATTATCCGCGCGCAGCTCTGCTGATCAGGCAGCCTACCCCTGTTGCCATGAGCGATGCAAGCTAACGGAAAACCTGACGATGCAAGCTAACGGAAAACCTGACGATGCAAGCTAACGGAAAACCTAACAAAAGCCATAAGCAGCAGTGGCACGCGAGCCCTTTGCACTTACGCGCAGGTCGGAACGACCGGCCCCGACTTCTGGTTGCCGTCCCGCAGTCCGCCGCAGTAGTAAATGGAACCGCGCAGCACAGTCGCACAGGCGGCGCCGGCCTTATGCTCGGGATTCGGGCCGTAGCTCCAGCTGCTGGTGAGAGGGTTGTAGATCTGCATTCGGCCTGCGTGGTGTACGTATGTACGTACGTACGTATAATCGCAAATAATCCTTCTTAATACGGCCAATAAGCAAGCGATACGGCTGTACGTACATTAATACCGATATCTGCTAAATATTATTTACGGCTTCAGGAGCCCGACCGAGCGAGCGAGAGAGCAACACTTATGGAAAGATCGCCGAGCAGCCGTCACTGGGTTATTCATCACACGCCGTCGCTGCGCCCGTCCCGCGTGAGCAGATCTAGCTATCTGCAACCCAACCCAGCCATTACCTAGCAATCAATACATCGCAACCTTCTTACTTTCAGAACCGTTCAAGAAACCGCCGATGAGGTACAGTCTGTTGCCGTACGTCACCGCCGCCATGTGATTTCCGAAATTCAACCGATTGGCTCCCCTGCTTGGGTGCGTTCGCACATGCATGCGCACCGAGCAAAAACGCGGGTACACGCGCGCGCGCGTGTGTGTGTGTGTGTGTGTGTGGGTGGGTGTGGGTGGGTGGGTGTGTGTATACGTGTGTGAATATATTTGCATTTTGATGGGATCACGCACACGGGGCATGCATGGCTTAGGTGCGTCTGTAGGTCGCCGGTACACGTACACACACTCAGTGCAGCACGCACAGCTGACCACTACTGCCGCCGGTCATCGCAATCCCGCAACGCATGTACATAACCCAGTTCTCTGTCCACCCCCATGGCCCCCACCTTGACCAGGTGTTTCTATCGACGTCAAGGACCATGGTGGCGGTGGTGGCATTGAAGCTGGAGTTGTGGTGGCCGACCACGACCAACAGGGGCTCGTTCTGCGGGCCCTGCGGAGGATATGTATGTATGTATGTATGTACATGGACACCCAGTGTGGGTGCGTGTATATATGTGGGCGGATCGGCGTCAATGTATGAATGCTATAATAATTGGCCGTGCTAGGGTGTACGTATTTATGTATACGTATGTGTGTATGTAGACACGATCTAACGGATAACGGAAGTCACAGCCGAGTAGTCAGCGAGCACCTGGATTTATCCTACTTCACTCCTTACGATTGCTTGTTCAGGAGCAAGCGGGTATGCATGCAAACTCGCGCACTGACCCGCAGGAAGCCGGCGGAGGTTTCAGCAACGGGCCATGGTAAGTTCGTCACATTTGTCCAGGACAGCGTGGAACCCGTTCCTGTTGCTGCTGCTAGGAGAGGAGGGCTGCTGCTGCTGCTGCTGCTGCTGCTGCTGCTGCTGCTGCCAGGCGTGATGATGAGCAGAGCCAGCAGAAGCAGAGTCGCAGTCGGTGTTGTCGCCAGCGGAGGCGACGACGACGGGAATGAGGCTGCAGCAGCCGTACTAGTAGTCCACTGAGGCTTGGCCATCAGCGATCCCGCGGTATCGGCGCACTTACGCCGCTCGGCAACTGTTGCCGTGTTTGCAATCCCACCAGGCATGATATCGTCCCGCTAGCAGCAGCAGGTCGGTGTATTGCCCTTCCTCAGCGCAGAGCGAGGGATACTTTATGTGTTACGTTCAAAATCGTCGTGGTCCGTTCCTGAAACGAATACGCTTTTCTTTATTGACGACGCTGTATGTGGTGCACAAGTCAGGGTTTATTACTCTCACTGTAGACTAGGGGTGGTGGTGTTGTTTGTCCGTCAATATATCAGCATTTTACAAACTAATCAATCTGCGGGAAATCCTAATTTATGTAAATGCCGTAATGTGATGGCATGTACAGATGTCTACAGCAGCAGCTTCCTGCGCAGCTTCTTGGACGAAGGTTAGGTTGTTGCACCCTAGGCAAGCATTCTAGGCATTATATGCCTATGCATGTGCATTACCCTCTACCTACTACGACCAAGCACCAGTCGGGCAGCCGCTCCATGACAGCCAATCTATGCCATAGACGCCTGCAGCCGTTACTATACCACGACTTTGGAAAAGTAACGATCGGCGGATGCAGATCCCGTGATTTGCCCGACAGACGGATAGATACTACAACATCCTAGAATGCCACAACCGAATTAACCGAAGGCAAAACGAAGTGACCCCCTCATTTTGTTGACCCGCCCCGCCCCGCCCCGCCCTGCACTGCGATGAAACTCAGGTTGTGGACACCCGCGGAAACCCTAGTTGTAGCGCCAGATCTGGATCCAGATCTACGCCTGTTCCTCAATCCATATCCGCTAGGCTGCTTGGCTGCTGTCATTAGCATCAGCATCAGCATCAGCAGCAGAATTTTTGTGTTAATTTTAGCTTTCCAACCCGGCTCCCTGCAAACTGCTGCCGCGGGCGAGCTTGTGCTGCTGTCTGTCTGTCTGCCTCATCAGCATGTCGTCATCTGCTGCGGCCTGCAGCTTCGTTTCGTTAGTTTCGTTCGAGGCAAGCTGTAGGTTTGTCCGAGGCAGGCAGGCAGGCAGACAGACAGACAGGCAAGCAGGCACGCAGGCGGACAGACAGACAGACAGACAGACAGACAGGCACGCAGGCAGGCAGACAGACAGACAGGCAAGCCTGCCTCGAACGGTTGGCGGAAGTTGGTCGAGGTGCCAGCAGCAGCAGCAGCAGCAGCAGTAGCAGCAGCCTCCAACATAGGCAGTTGCTTGCTGCAGGCACTGGCAGCAGGAAGCTGACATTCATTACACATACACTCACCAGCCATCTCTTGGTTCGATATTCGCCGCAGCCGCATGCTGCGATTATAACAATAATAAGGGTGCAGCGGTGACAAAGGATAAAGAAAGGACGACGATAAACAATCTCCTTTTGTTGGTTGCTAGCAATGCTAATTGATAAATAATAATAAAGTGCAGAGGTCAACCCGTCTTTCTGTGGATAGATGCACGGTGTGAATGCCCACACATGAATAGCATATGTAGCGATTATTAGGCGCTGTCATGACGTGCATTCCGGTTCCAAGTTCCAACCAACCATCCGAGGATTACTATGGCTGCTGCGCGGCAATGATGAATGCCCCGGGGCTGCCGGGCCCCGTCCTCATAATATCTTATGATGGAATGTATCGATAGCGCGAAAATGAACATTTACAACGTTTGATGGAATTCACATGTACAGATATACAATTTACAATTGATGCGTGTCGGTAGAGCGATCTTCGTGTCAACTAGACACACATGCATACACACGGTTGATGGACGGTGGTGAGCTGGGATAAAGTTAATTTGCGAGCCGACCAGGAATGGAGTTGGGCCGCCGTCGATCCGGCAGATTCCGTTGGATGCTGGTGGTGGGTGCGGAACCTGAGCGATCCACTGAGAAGTTGACTAGGGTGACTGGATGAGGGTGCCCCGAAATACCGGGGAAGGCAGGGTTTCGCAGGGTAGCTGCCACGGGTGAAGATATACCCCGAGCGATCTTCATGTCAACTAGACATACATACACACGCACACATACACACGCACACATACACATGCACAAATACACACGCACACATACACACACATACACACGCACGCATACACACGCACACACAACAGTACAGGTCGAGCCGAGCAGCTTAGTACATACACCAACCAAGGATACGCATCGCAAACGACAAACAAGATATCTGTGGCTCATCGATGAGCCACAGTGGTGACAGCAATGATAAAACGTGTGTCTAAAACGTGTGTCCGCATGTCACCTGTATGTACGTCAGGTGTCCCCTCCCGCCCTGCACTCCAAAGCACGTTCACGGGTACATACGTCGTACATACGTCGTACATACGTCGTACAGTGCTGCTGCAGTTGCCCATCCATCTCTGTCATCTACATACATACCCACACTTGCCCACCCAAGGGCACAACAAACAAGTAAACAATGAAATTAAACACCGATTCACAAACACGCATGAGAAGGTGAGAATGCATGCATGCATGCGCGCCTGTCCTATTAAACAACGCCTGGGTGCGCCGACTAAACATTCTACAAATGCACGCGCTATTACATACCGCACACATGTGCCGCGGCCCTCTATCTGTCCATCCATCTATCTATCTATCTATCTATCTATCTATCTATCTATCTATCTATCTATCTGTCTATCTATCTATCTATCTATCCCTCTATCTGTCTATCCTTCCATCCATCCATCCATCCATCCATCCATCCATCTATCCATCCATCCATCTATCTATCTATCTATCTATCTATCCATCCATCCATCTATCTATCTATCTATCTATCTATCTATCTATCTATCCATCCATCCATCTATCTATCCATCTATCTGTCTATCCTTCCATATGCATCCACATCACTGTTAGCGCTGCAGGCCGCCGCCGCCGCCGCCTCCTCCACCCCGCTGCCCTGCAAGCAGCTCGGCCTCCTGTGCGCGCTGCCAGCACTCTGGGAACCAGCTTCCCTTCGATACCCGGGAATCCCTTCATCTAGTTGTCGTTTCGTGCTCATTCGTGCTCATTTCATAACGAAGGGCTGAGGGGCCTTCAGAGCATATCGACGGAGTTCGGCTGAAATGGCCACTTAGCATGCAAAAGCCCTGTAATATCACCATGCCAGGGATTGTTTTAATTACTTACGACTGTATGCATTGTTCCAACGTGAGTTATCATGAATTCTGAGCTCATCCCACAATGAAGGGCTGAGGGCCCTTCAGAAGTAGTTTGGCTGAAGTGGTCGTAATTCACGGATTCCTTTATAGAAGCCTTCTGATATCGTCATGCCAGAATTGGTTTTAGTGAGAACATGACTTAGCATGATCATGCATAGTGTTTTTGGAGCTACGTTCGGCAAAACAAGTACAAACGCACAGCATCTGTTTGCAAACCTGGCTATTGAAGATAGAATAACAGCTAATAACTATGGCCCCTCCAGCTAAAACATATCCCCGTTACCTCTGCGACGGCCGCTCACCAAATTCGAATTTTCGTGTGCGTCCTGTGGACGCAATGATCAGTGTCAGTCTCGTGCATATTATCACATCACCAGACAGCAGTGCGTCCAGCTTGTTAATAATGGCAAAGAGGCCGTGGCTCCTCACGAGATGGTCGCAATTTCTCACTGTTGCGATAGATTGCCACGTACTCTGTGTGGTTTAAACTTACGACGTCCGATATGCTAGGTCCCCCCTGTCAGTACTGTCAGTACACTAGTGTAGGCGCCTCGTCTCCAGTGGCGGTGGACATGGAGTGGAGTCCGGAGTCCGCCGAAGGGCCAGGCGGAAATGCAGTGGAGCCCCGACAACCTAACAGGTGAGACCGTAGTCCATAAGGTATTTTATAGAAATGTTTCTCCTCCTTATTGCATCATCGGGTGATGTGAACACACATTGAAGAAGGGAGGAAGATAGCAAAGTTGGATATGGGGGGGAGAGAGGAGAGGGGAATGCGGGGAAGAGATAGCTGTATCCTATAGGAGGTGGGGATGCGGGGGAGAGAGGAGAGGGGGATGCGGGGCGGAGGTGGAGATGGTGGCAGTGGCGACGGTGGAGGAGGTGAAGGGGGAAGGT